TCTTAATTATGTTAAATACTTGACCCAATTTGAACCACATGTTTTTCTAAACTGATAAATTATTATAAGTTGGGCCATGGACACCCTGTACCATGCTGTTATTATCATCATCATCTTCATTTGGCCCTTAGTATATATGCTGACCTGGTGAACACATGAGTAATAAAATATGTTTTTCCATTTCTTTATGATTAAATAAACATATCCACACCAAGCACCATGCAAACCTAATAAAGCGTGCACCTAAAATATAGAAATAACAAAGCTCCCACCTAACCTAAAAATCTAAAAGAGCAGCCTTCCTCAATAACAGCCCCTTCCATTTACATCTTGAAAGCGTCAAAGCATCTACAACAGTACGCAGATTTTTTAGATTCATCTATTGTGGCATTGTTTTAATCTATACTATAAATGCAAAGTGTATAAGAAGATATGAAAAGAATGAAATTAAAGAGACCAAGTTTTTCTTTTCATTCCTATAGGAAAGTGAGTTAATTTGTTATTTGTGTGATAGATATAATTTTTTATAAACCACTACAATGCATTTTCACTCTCTTGATGCCAGTTTCAAATAAGGTTGCTATCTTTGCGAGACATTACGATTTAAGACTAAGGATGTTTTTACTTGGACTGTAATTTGCTGGTCTGGTCTGGTCTGATCTGGTCTGGTCTGGTCTGAACTGGTCTGGTCTGGTCTGGTCTGGTAAGGTCTGGTTTCTTTGTATTTTTATAACTATCCAAGTCTGGTCTGGTCTGGTCTGGTCTGAACTGGTCTGGTCTGGACTGGTCTGGTCTGGTCTGGTCTGGGGCAAATTATAGTCCAAGTAAAAACATCCTAATACATACATTCCGATCTTAGAGCATCTCCAATGCTAAAACGTTAACGGTGCATACGTGGCATGGAAAATAACCAATTAAAAAACAATAAATACAATATCTCTCTCCTTATTTGAAGGATCTTACATCATTTTGGTAAGTTTTTCTTCATAATGTCAAACACAATGTCTAGATGTAGACATTGTGATTGACATTGCAGACAAAAACTTACCATAAACACATAAGACCGTGGAAAGAAGGAGAGAGATATTGTATTTATTATTTTTTAATTGGTTATTTCTCATGACACGTATGCACTGTTAACATTTTAGCATTGGAGATGCTCTTAGAGCATCTAATTTGGATGCCATATGTTTTATTAAAGGAAGAACTTGACTTTGCATCATAGTTTTAGTTTAGGTAATATCAGACTTTACTCCAAATTATGATGAGATGTGAGGTAAGTACACACAACTTGCATATGTAATACTCCGTATATATACTCCGAATTTTACATAAAAAGTTATTTTCGAACCATGATTGTATGTTTTTACAAATACAAATTTGTTGGAATAATTACATAATTTAAAATACTTCAAGCTTCGTTAGAATGCATATAACATTCTAAAATTTCATTTGTGAAATACTAGCCATGTCCCAATTTGTTTTGCAAAGTCAACTTTTTTTGGTCAACCAATATTAAAAGTCAATGCTCTCTATTGATAATTAATTCAGTTTTTAATAAAATAAAATTTACATATTCAGAAATTACATTAAAATCTCTTCATTTGTAAATCAATTTGGGACGGAGGTAGTAAATAATATTACACCCATTAAAATTTAATTTTAATTACATCTTTATAAATGTTTTGTGTATTTTATATTATATACTTAGCACCATAAAATTACATTTGTGAAAAAATATATACTCATGATGATAACAGAAATTTTATATAAAGTTTGGGGTATATATAATACATGTGCAAGTTTGGGGTACTCATTTCACACCCCTTGAAAGTTTAAGATATTCAAATTATTTTTCCCTATTTTGAGAATCATTAATCGATGCATCTCATTTAATATAGAATCATTTGACTTGGTTCCTATATTCTTTCACAATTTTTGGACCAATGAAATACATACATTAATGATTTTTGAAATGGTATGCAAAGACCAATGTAGCTCAAAAATGAGATGCAAAGTTAAATTTTTTTCTATTAATATTTTTTAGCAACACTTGGTGGTTCTTGCGTCTCATGATTTGCCGTATTGAATATTGATTTCACGGCTCGCAATGTCTGACGCCGTATGCGGCAAAAACGCTATCACAATCAATCAATTATCTAATTTGGAATTTGTTTATTTGAATATGACATCAATATCAAATCAGACTAATTAAGAAAATAGTACAGTATATTATGGTACATGATATTAAAATAAATTAGATTTGTATATTCCAAACTAGACAAGACTAACGATCATTACGCCAAAACATACGAAACTTTAACACAATCAATAACCGGCTCGAGTGAACTAATCAATTTCAGTCCGTATAAACATGTTACTAGCTGGAATGTGGTCAGCCGTGGATCCAAAGGTTCTCTAAAGGATGATAGGAATCCGCACGAGCTAGTTTTGCATTGACCAATATTGTCACAATAAGGTTCATTGATATCGGTTTCGAGTCTAATTCAATGGTCAATATTGTATTTCTTTCACGGTCAAGATTTAGATGGCTCGAGTAGGAAGTTTGAACAAAAAATGGAATTAGAGCATAAGTTGATCGATTCCATTTCTCATAAATTTACAAACTAATCAAACTTGTACCACTGATTTACTGTTCCCGATTGCGAACCAGAATGTTTATTCATAAGCTGCACAAACACTCACAATCGTAGTCCGGTTCTGGTCAACACCAAGGACAATGTCCTACTCTACAGGTCATCTACCAATACTTGTTTGTACTTGGTTCAAGTATGATAAAATTTCTATAAAGCGTTTCATGATCATAAAGTGACATACTAGAAAATCGTGCTTCCATTTTATGTCTCCTTTTATTTTGTGTTGTATGTGTTTAAAATCAGCCAATCCAATTTAAAGTAACGTCAATTTAGTTGAGAGTCTTGAGACTCTTATTGTATTCGGTCCGTAAAGATTATAACAAAAAGACTTTGAAGGTTGTTCTCCTTCTCCTACATAGAACAAGGCCAAGGTCTTTTTGTATTGCGCTATAAAAACATATTCCTTCTTCTTCAATGTCATAAAGTTTCTTCACAGCTCTAGTGACAACCAAAAGCAGGGCAAGAATACATACGAGCATTATCTAGCAAGTGTTGAGATCGATGCACTAAATGCCCTCAACTCATAAAAATGAACTTTATTAATAAGATTTGAATGAATGCGATGCAGCTATCTAATCAACAAGCTCCATATAATTTTCGTTAATATACTCCGTATATCATATGAACAGTTTACAAAGAGCGGGAATAACGTCATTGACATATCTCTCATGTCCAGGGGAAGGGAGTCAACCTAGGCTCTAGCACACTCAATTTTTAAAAGGGAAAGTTCCCGAAATGAGACTAAAAAGTTCCAAAATTCCAAAATAGGACTGTCATGTTTTTATTCCCAAAATAGGACTAATTACTACCAAATTTGGAAAATACTGCCATGTTTGAAGTCTGGTACTGCCAAAACATGGCAGTAATTAGTCCTATTTTGGGAATAAAAACATGGAAGTCCTATTTTGGAATTTTCAAACTTTTTTAGTCCCATTTTGGGTAATACCCCTTTTTAAAAATGTCATATTTTTTGTTAGGGAAACACGAGTCTTGATCTCTTCTAGAATCATGAACTAATAGGACTTTTGTATAGTCACCCACACTGACAATATAAATATTCAATCTGATAATATCACTTTTTATAATACAATTGAAATATAAAAGAAAGATCTACAAGTAAATGGGTTGTTCACTTTCTTTGTACACTTGTATGATATTACTTCACTCACATTCACTCTTTGATCTTCTTCTCTCACCAACAAGGAAGCTATTCACTCACACTCATCAGAAGTGTTCATATCAAACTCGTGATTTGACTGAAAGCAGGGGTCGAGCTCTATGGAATCTTGACGTTCAATTAAGAGATTCCAACTTGAATGTTTAGTAGTGATTATTCTGCTACATGGGGTAGATAATCGTTTTAGAATGTCGGAATAACTTGCTATTTTGAATCACCTCATTGTTTTAAATTACCAAAATGACATAATTTATTGACTTATGTACTAACAAAATATGATAATATCACACTAGTACTAACAAAATTACATATCAATGTTTGAATATTAGTACATATAAAAGGAATGCTTCAAATGATGTAGATCACATATCAAAGTTTGAGTATCGCTGTATCGAAATGATGTAGAAGTATTGAAGCAATAACTAATTATTTTTTTTACACTTTAAAGAAAAAGAAATGTTGTATTGTTCATAAAGTTAAGAATACGATGTATCAGGGGCGTGGAAAGAACATTTGATTGGGTTGGATGAGTATAAAGAATTTCTTTTGGATAAAGTTTTACATGAATTTTTTTTACTCTTATAACTTAACAATTTATCAAATTGGGATTGGTGGGGTCTAACATTGCTCCCTACATCCGTCCCTGCAATTCATATACATACTTGATCAGATCAGACAAGATCAGATCAGACCAGATCACACAAGATCAGATCAGATTTCTGTAGTTAAAAAATACACAAAGACCAGACATTTATCAGACCAGAACAAACCAAACCAGATCATCAAATTTCAGTGCAAAAGAAAATATCCTAACTACTCCCTCCGTTCTATTTTGTAAGATGCACTTTCTTTTTTAGTGTGTCTAAAAAATATTATCACTTTTCTAAATTAGACTCCAATAACGTATTACGTAATACTTTCTATCCTTTTATCCATCATTTCACATTACTTTTTGGGAATCTATCCTTCTCATTCTCACTTTTTGAAGGTTAGGATTTGTAAAACAATCACTTTATTGTTTATATGTTTCTCACATTATGGGACGGAAATAGTAAAATTTGAAGTGACATTTAGAATGTGATTGGTTTCATTCTTAAAGCAAATCATGTCAGATCAAATCAATTCAGATCAGATGAGACTAAACTTAAACTGACCACATTAATTCAGAAAATTACGATCCAATTAAAACCATCACTTATAATCATTTGTACATTTATTTCCAGAAACATATTTCTAGGAGGTGGTTCCAATGTTTTCTAGAAACCCCATATTTTCAAAAATCCTTCTAGAGAAGGCTAGAAGGAATTAGAAACTGCTTCCAATGTTTCACATGAACCACTCTAGCAAAAGCAGTTTGAATAAGCAAATAATTTAAACCCCCTAAGACTCAATTTACCACAACTTGATATTTCTTGTTGTTTACAAGAGATTAAACTTAAATTAAATTGATCGTATAAACAAGGTTTGATAGTTTTACCCTAACACAGATTAGTGGCATTATACTATTACAGTAATCGTTTGAATGAATCCAACGTCCGAGTTCCCAACTAGCCACGCTGATAATTTAAGTTAGGACTCGTTCAGCCATACTTAATTACTGGCATGACACTAATCGGTTGAATTAATGTTTTTACAGGGACAAAGAATGTCGTTTTATAAGCTCTAAACTAGTAGTAATATCCGATGGATGAATGATGATGATCCACCAATCAGCACTCTACAAACATGTTTTTTCCCCTAATTTAACAAGGCTTCTGCGTGAACATAAACATTTCTTGGAAGGGATTATTATACTGCTGAACATTGAACAGGTCATCTCTTAGAGGATCGATGAAATTGCTGAGCTGGAAGTCCATGTCATCCCATTTCGGCGCGCTCTGGACCTCCCGGTCGGCGGCGAACTCCGTCGGGGACAGCACTTGCTCCGAGCAGCAGCTCGAGTCGGTGTGCCACTTGGGCACCGACTCCGACGTGTCGAAGTGCACGTACTCGTTCTTGCTCTCCACCACCGCCGGCGAAATCAGCGGCGGCAGTCGCGGCGCTTGCAGTAGCGCCGCCTTGCTCTGTAAATTCTGGGATATGTTCGGCTTCTGTTCTTGAACTTCCGGCAGGTTGTAGAACTTCTCAACCGTGCCTTTCTTATTGTATATCCGGCAGAGCACCCAATCATCAAGCTGTAAAGATATCAAATTAATGGTTATTCAACGGAATTTATAAATCAAAACAAAATATTGAAATTTTGAATGGAATAAATAGAAATTCATACTCTGGAATTGTTCCTTTTGCCGGCGGAGCGATCGACGTTAGCTAAACGGTACTCGTGCATAATCCAATTAGTCTTGACACCTTTAGGGGCCTTGCCGGCGTAGAAGACAAGGGCTTTCTTTATCCCCAAAGTGTTCGGTTTTCCGACTGGCTTATCGGCTCCGGTCGCCTTCCAGTACCCTGTTCCGGCAGCCCTGTTCGGCCGGGACCCGTTCGGGTACTTCCGGTCTCTCGGAGAGAAAAAGTACCATTCTTTTTCACCGTATAAAGCCATACCTGCATCAAATCAGACCCAAACATTGAGAAGTCAAATTCAATTCAAACACCCAAAGATTGCAAACCAAGCTCGGAGAGATATGGCTAGTAGGAGCTTACCAGGAAGGTGCCAGGGGTCAAACTTGTAAAGATCGATATCGGCGATGATCGGAACAGAGATGGACTGGCCGGAGCATTTCCGGCAGAGATAGTGCACCACCAGCTCCTCATCTGTGGGGTGGAATCGAAATCCCGGCGGCATATCCAATCGCTGCTGTTGATCGTTCATAGTTCCACCGTAACTTTTCATCTTCAGTTGAATATTCTCTTAACCTCTGCTTTTTAACCTTCAATTCGTCGCAGGACTTTTCTAGCAGCTAACTTTTCTTTCTTCTGATCCCAGATATTTTTTTTTTCTTTTGTTTTGTTTCTCAGTGGTTGAAAGTTGGACTTCCCGCAATGAGTATTTATATATATAGTGGTTGTGCATATAAAAATGGAAAATTTGAGTGGAGAGCGTAATTCGCACGAGGTGTTTTAAAAAGAAGTCATCTCTTTGACTGACAGCTAGCTTGTTGATAAGGCTAGTATTTAGTACCTCCCGCCCCACGCGGCATACGTACATTTTCCATTCTTATTTATATACCCCTCCATCCCTTATAACTTTGTCTATTTTCCTTTTTTGAATGTCCCATTAATTTTGCCATTTTTCTATTTAAGTAAAGTATTTATGGTTCCTGTTAATTCTCTCTCCTCTGTACAAACCTTTACCACACAGTTTTTACATTATTAATCTCCGTGTCGGTCAAACTTGCAAAGTTATTAGAGATGGAGGGAGTAAATAATACTCCGTAATTAAAATAAATAATTTGAATATATATTTTGATAAGTAATTTTGACGGTAATATAATATAATATGATCGGTTAGGATAATTTTGATGTTTTAGTTGTGTTATTTACTCTCTCCGTTCTAATATAACATCATATTTTGACTTTGCACAAAGATTAAGAAGGTTAGAAACATAGAGTACGTTTGACACAACTAAGTGAAAAGATACTTTCACACACTTTTTAGTAACTGTTAGCTGTTAGTGACTGAAAAGTTCTTAAAAATAAAACATAGCAGCCGTTTGATAAAAAGTTGACTTTTGATTTAGTTCTGTTTGACATAGAAGCTGTTAGGACTAATAATGCTAAAAGTCACAGACTTTTTTCAGATGCTACTGCCTGTAGCGTCTCAAAAAAGAGCTTTTTATTTTTTTGAAAAACTCTTAAAATTGTCATGCCAAACATACGACTAGGAATTTTTAGAGACTTTTTAAATGATACAAAAGCTAGAAGACAGGGACTTTTGCCTGCAAAACATAGTCATATATAACTTAAAGTTGTGCAAAAGGGAAACTAAATGAGAGAAAATGTTGTCAACCACAAATATTTTATCAAAAACGAGAAAGATAAGTTAATTTAGGTAGGGAATAAAAATTGAAAAAATGAAAAAAAAAATGGGGAGTGAGTAATATATTTGATGATTAAAGATGTTTTTACTTAGACTGTAATCTGTCCGAGATCAAACCAAACCAGAATAGAGCAGAACAGATCACACCAGACCAGACCAGACTTGGATAGTTACAAAAATACAAAGAGACCAGATCAGACCAGACTAGACCAGACCAGTTCAAACCAGATCAGACCAAACTAGACCATGAAATTACAGTCCAAATGAAAACATCCTAATTTTTGATTGAGTTGCTTTCATTATTATCTAAAAAAGACTAGTGTGTTTAGTTGGATTTTCAAAAGAGACAAAAGAGAAGATTAAAACTAGAGGGGTGACTATGAGTTCATAAAGTGGTGTCGAGGACAGGTGTTCATAAAGAACATCCGTTCAATTTTAGACCTCTTAAATTCATACTACGGGTATAACAAGCTTCAAAGCCAAATACGAGTTTTTTAAAGTTACGATATTTAGGATGTTTTTTTAAAGTTCCGATATTTAGGATATTTGTTTTTTTTTACCAAAAAAAAAGTTCCGACATTTAGGATGTTTTTTTAAAGTTCCGATATTTAGGATTGTTGATTTGATCTGGTCTGATAAACGTATGATCTCTGTGTTTTTATAACTACGGAAGTCAATTCTGGTCTGGTCTGACTTGGTCTGGTCTAGTCTGGTTTGGGACTGAAAACAATCCAAAAGAAAATATCCTTATTCATTTACCACGGTAATCATATGTAATGTGTCCAATTCAATTTAAGCTAAGTCGAGTATAGGAATAGCTAAAAATTAAAAGGATAACCGATAAATCACACTCCCGCTGAACAATAGTTAGCACATAACTAATAAACTCTTTAACACTCCCTAATTTTGTTTGTTTTTGTTTTATTGGATCCATTTCTATAATTAGAAACTTTATCATATTTAAATACTAGTATAACACTTTGTACACTTTCATTTTTTCTCACTCATTTCATTTTTTCTTAATTTTTTCGATCGGTCTTACTTTTTCAACTTTAATTATTATTATATCTTACTCCCGTCTTGGTCTTTGTCACAAATGAGGCTCTAAACCATTGCCTTTGTCAAGTCCCTACCAGAGCTGGCCCTCTTAGATAAGAATGTCGTCACAAAGTAGATGATTTTGAGTAAAATACAAAAAAGTATTTTCATTAGATAATGTCAACTTTTTTTTATTATTTTATATGTCTTGTAGGCCAATTTATTTCGATCAATCTCTTATTAAAAACACCCAATGATACAAGTTCACTCCCAAAAATTGAAATTGGTACATACTTGTGACATTTGCATTTAATTATTTATGCACACCGGCAATATTTACACTTTTTAGATATTTGTGTATAACAGCTCTGCAACAATTGTCTATATACTCAAACAATTAACTATAAGACTGTGTCAATTGTGTATAAATTTGTGTGCATCAACAATCATCGAAATTGAATCCCCACGCCCCGACACGACATGACCGTTGAGATGTTTTAAGTTACGGTGACTCAATTGATCCAATGATGGAAGACCATGTACTTGTACGCACCAGAGGTCCAACACGCAGGAGTTGTAACCTCCACATGATCGCTGCAGGATTCGATTTTTTGTCATTCTTCCAATTTTCTCGCCACTCAACTAACTGAGCTACCCGTGCGGTGCGGGTTATATATTTCAAACAAAAGGTTAGATGAGGTGCGACCAATACGTGTTAGACTAATGCAACATTGTTACTTGGTAGGTAAATTCCTTGCTGGCAGCCTCTCGGCTCTCCCGTACTACACACCTCAGAAAGAGGTTCATCGTTTTCTCAAAAGCATTTAATTTGCGGGTTCGACCTGCGAAATTTAAACACGTGGAAGATATGAAAGATGCTTGAGCCGTGGGACTCATTGGGTTAATTTTGAGAGAGGGGGGAGGTTTGCTTGGGGATCAAGGTTGACCGCAGCCGTTGAAGTAGTGCCGACGGTCTTATCTGGACGGGCCACGTGTGCTGGCTGGTTCCCACGTGTGGTGCTGCTGTGGTCACGGCTTTCGTCATCGTTTTTGGACGGACTCGATGGATGGATCCTCATCTTTCAGCTTTGACTCCACCAATAATTATTGGCGTGCCCATCGAATGTCAAGCTGTCAATTACATGCCTTACCCTATCGCCAAAGAGATAATGCTATATAATTGGTGATTAGAGGCTTTAATTACTCTCATCCCTTTAAAGTATGGTGGACTTATGTTCGACTATAGGTTTTGCAAAATTTTAATTGGACTCAAATTTTCGAATTTCATTTAGTTTGGTCTTGCCTATTAAAGTATGGGGAGAAGTAACTAATACTCGAATCAGGGACAGATCTAGGAATGAGGAGTGTGTGGACTAAGTAGTAAAAAATACTCTCTCCATCCGGGAAAATTGTTCCCGGTTTCCTTTTTGGGCCGTCCCAAAAAATTGTTCCACTTTCCCATTTTGGAAAATTTTTTGTGGCTACAATTCATTTACTTTTTTCTTATTCAACCACAATCATACATTTCCACTTTATTCCCACTTTCTTAAACTCTGTTCCAAGTCAATGTGGGAACAATTTTCCGGGACGGGGGGAGTATATATTCACCGCACATAAAAGATTTAGCTTACGGCTGTTATCGAACTGAGCTTTTTTTAACTGCTTGAACTCGAGCATAATTACGAATTTAATTTAACGGTACGACCCGAGCTTAATGAAGATCGAACTCGAACACGGGCTAGATTTTCAGTTTGAATATATATTCGGCCCGAGTTAAAATAGTTAAAATTTAACCATTTTTAATTTAGTGCAGTTTTATAAATTATTAATGATTATGAATAATTGTAGTGTTTATTGGTATTAATTTAAATACTTCTATAAAATTGAATTGAGATTGTTATTTTTCTCTTATTTAATGTTAGTAATATTTTAAGAAAAAATAATAGTTGTTGAAGGAAATTCTATGTAGTGTGAAATTGTGTATATAAAATATGTATTAATATCATTCTATGTAGACTACATATTATGGGCCCATTAGCCTGTCTTTGTAAACGCAAATATCTCCCTATTTATAGAGCTTTTGATAATGAAACTATAGGAACGACTAACAATAGTGACTTTAGTAAACAAAAACATCCTTCTTGTTTAATGTTGGTAATATTTTAAAAAAACTCATGAAAATAGTTGAAGTAATAATAACAATAATAATAGGTCTAGATTATTATAATATAATAACAATTGTAAAATTAATGCTTAGCATAATCGTCTTGTAAAATAATGTTGTAATATGAAGTGTTATAAGTTCTAGAGTACGTTGAGTGGGTCATGAGATTGCACATGAATCATCCTCCCACGCGGTATGTAATTTGTACCGTATGTAAAATTTGTTGTTCTCAATTTTTCCCAACCTCCTGCAAAGGATGTTTCATCCTCCCTGAGTGCCCTGTAAATAAATCACCCCTTACGCCTTTAAAAATTAAGTGTGCAACGACTAGAATTCCTATTGCCATATGCTCATTGCTCGGCTGTTAGGCATTGCCCATTGGGGCCATTTGTTGCAATGGTTCACAAGTTTAAAATGTTTGGGGCGTCATTACATACCACGCCTTGAGCTTAGTCTTGTGATGAGCTGAACATTAACTTTGTGGCAGGTGCGCTGGATATTAAACTTTTCCCTATATTAATATAAAAAAAATTGTGTTGGGCTGGGCTGAAGCCCACCCCAGCCTCTTCATAGATCCGCTCCTGACCGGAATATCATTAGTGATGATATATAGAGAGTAGACGTGATTATTAAGTAGGTGAGAGAGATGAGTCGTATTACTGATTGTCATTACTATGCTGGAATTATTACTCACTTTTACTCAACCTCTAGCTCCTTTTCTTGCATGCCGCTTACCCCAAGGGTCGGAACTCCAAACTATGTGTAATATATACGATAGTATAAATATCAAAGTGTGTAAATTAAAGTTACTTATATGTAATTGCATTAGTGCATGTTTATCATACAAGTGTATGTAAAACATGCATATATGTCA